CTTCCTGGTCCAAGAATAGGTTTTGCTTAAGCATAATCAAGTGTTCTGGGATTCCCATTCTTCTCAGAGTCAGCCACAGTTTGTTGTGATCCACACAGTCAAATGCTTTTGCATAGTCAGTGAAACAGATAAACCTGTGGTACTCTCTGCTTCAGTCATGATCCATCTAACTAACATTGGCTATAATATATCTAGTGAGTGCCACAGCCTCTTCTGAACCCACCTACTTATCTGGCAGTTGCCTGCTGATGTGCTGCTCCAGTCGTTTTTGGATCATTTTCAGCAGGATCTTGCTTGCATGTAATATATATAGCTTAATTTAATTCCTAGACTTATAGTTGCATTTTTATTTCACGTTTCAATTGCCCAATGCCATTAATTACTATCATCTCAAACAGGGTAGGTAGAACAGGAGAGAGCTGAAAATGGGCATGAACAAACAGTAAAAGAACCTTTGCTAGGCTACAAATGAGGAACCCAAGGATCATCAGATTACTTTTATTCAGATGGCACATCCAAATACTCTAAGCCAAGTCACTGGCACATAAATTATTTTTAAACCATATTATCCTCCTTAATTGGCTTAAAATAATTTTTAAAGGACTCTGGTTGGCTTCTACAAATGAATGTAATTCATCAGTTCTTAATTCTGTTAGAATAGCTCCATTTCAACAATTTAGGCTATTGTCTAAACCAGAGTCACCATTCTTTCAGAGATTTCCATATAATCTACTCATTCCTTCTTAAATTGGATCCAGAGCATCTAAGGAGCACTCTTTTAAAAACAGTAGTAAAGACCAAACTTTCCCTTACATATCTGTTGAGTCTTCGATGAAATAGTTAACTTGCACTTAGCGGCTGTTTTAGAAAAATACACCTGCATTTTATCTTTTTACAGAATTTGAATGATGAAGAGATTTGTGGCTTTTATCTAGTGCTCATTTTAGCATCTTATCTCACTGAGGGGATAAATGGGAATCTCTAGCATTGCTTAAATTATTTTTATTTTTGGTGAAATAAAGATGAATTAAAGCAATTTAAATATGCATATGACACAAATCCCATTAAATATGTTGGAGATCATATTTATTCTTTAACTTCTAAAGTTTATTTTCTTTCTTTCTTCTTTAGCTTCTAAGGTTATTTTTGTTCTTTCAATAAATTCAAAGGAGCCCTGATGATGAATTCCTTAGAGCAGGAAGGACATCATGCTTGGAAAGGAGGAGGGACAGAGAAAGAGAGGAAGGCCCTCAACCAGGTAGATTGACACAGTGACTGTAGCAATGAGCTGCAGGGTCAGAGACTTTAAGGATGGTACAGGTAGGACAGGGTTCACATCTGTTGTTCAGTGTTGCTATGAGTTGTACTGGACTCAACTGCATCTGACAACAATTATTGGTGGTGTAGTGAGCTAAGTGTTGGAGGTTCCAGTCTGCTTCTGCTAAGATTAAATCTATGGAAACCAACTGATCACCATGCATTGGAATCAATTTAATGGCAGTGGGTGTGGTGTGAATAAATGCAACAGATGCAAGGGTGTGTGAGTTTTTCAGTTGTGTACTGTGTACCAATACTAGAAGCCAGGCACATAACTATTTTAAGCCTGCAGTTCTCAACTGGTATTGGTAAAACGGGTATGAATACCTTTTTACTTAAGTCAGCACTTTATTTTCTTAAGAATACCTTTTTAAAAGTAGGATGTCCATGGTCCACAGAAATTGTACTGAATCACTTCTCTCAGGATTGAGGAGCTGGTATATTTATTACTCTTCTTATAGCCCTTTTGGTAATGTTGATATACATTAGGACTAAGAAACCAATAGTCTATCATGCCATTATCAAGCAATTGCCTATCAACCAGTGAGTTATTTAGAAGAAACTTGACTGATTTCACAATTTTGGGGTTGCTAAAATGCTTCCTCATTTCTGATTGCTTGTTGCTTTGCTGTGTACATCTTCCCTGATTTTTATCCTATTCTATTCCTTCCAGCCATCTGAATGTCTGGCTGGAAATCTGACCTTTGACCTCAGGTTCCATTATAATCTAAGTTTGGCTCCCTAAATGATTCTGACTACTGTCCACCTTCACTCATGATCCTAGTATGGTAATCTATCTGCCCTGTTAGGTCAGTAGGCACTCTGGTGATCTACTGAGTAGGGAGGTGCACTCCCAACCCAAAGGCTCATGATTTGAACTCATTGGGGAGAATAGGAGAAAGATGAGCCATCTCCTCCTGTGTGATTTACAGCCTCTGCAAAAGCACTAAAGGTCAGCTATGAGTAGGTTATGAGGTATGACTCGCCAGCAATGACCAATGACTTGCCACTGGAATTAAGGTCAGAGAAGAGATATGTGGACAACTTATTTCTAAGAACTAAATGTAACAGTTGTGGAAGAAGGATGGCACTCTCCTCTGTGAGATTTACTGTCTCTGAAAACTGTCTGAGGGTTTCAACTCAACAGCCCACACAACAACATATAACAGTCAAGGTTATTAATACATTGTAATGATTTCAATGCAGGTACCTGGCAGTGAATGGGTTTGTTGTTAACTTATAGATTGGCATATTGGTTCAAATCCAACCAGAGGCTTTGGGGAACAAAAGACCAGGTCATCCATCTGCCCCAGTAAAGCCTGGAAGACTTAGGTGGTAGAAGGATTAATGGAAATGAGAATTATAGGGAAGAAGTGAGGAATGTGTAGTTGTAGTTATATTGTTGATTACATTTGAGTTGGAGTAGGTTTTCAGAGGCAATACACTGCAAGGGAAGAGAATGCCCATCTTTCTCCACTGGAATAAGTGGTGAGTTTGAACCATACACCTTTGTGTTGTCAGCACAATTCCTTACCACTAAGTCACGAGAGCTCCCACTTAGGTTGTGGTTATTTTAATGAAGATTCTGTCTTTGAATGATTAAATGGAAAACGAACTTGCTTTGCAAATCTTCATTCAAATTACAATTTTAACTAGCTGTTATGGTCAAATACACCCTATAGCAGTTCTGCTTTGTAACACTGGATGGTCAGCAGTTATCAGTAGATTCCGTAGCAGATAACAATTTTGCTTTTTAAAAAAAAATTTTTTTTTCTTTCTTCAAACACCGCTTTCAACTCTGCACAACTAAAAACTCATTTATAGGAAAAAAAAATTTTTGCAAGGAAAATTGTCTTCACAACTAAGTAATTTGTACATTGCCACACACACACAAAACAACCCCAAAACACCAAACCTCCAAAAAACAAAATACCTTAGATGTTTTAAGTATCAGATCTAATTCTTTTTTCCAGATCGAGGACTGATGTTTGAGAAGTAACTGCTTTAACTCATAACTTAAACATTCTGACCCTAGAACCTTCTTTCATAACAATTTTACTACACCTTTTTATCTCCACCATGTCTACTATCAGCTCAGCAAATAATGGCTATAAAACCTTTATCCCATCTTTTATTTTACAGACCAAATCTCAAAAGTAGTACCTCTCCCGTGGTACATAATCCAATCAACATTATAATTATTGGAAATGCCGTAGTAGGAACAAAAAGTTTCAGAGGCTGTCTTCAGTGCAAAAAATTCCAATTTATGAATTTTTATTTTATAAGTGGTACTGTATCTTGTTTTAACCCAGCTATGGTTCAGGTAAGCAAACAATGAAGAATTTTTGGATGAAGAATAAAAAAGTTCAGGCAATTTGAGGCTTGTAGGGGAAGTCCCAATAGTATCTAGTCTTTTTATGTATCTAATTCAACTGCATTTAAGGCAAATTGAGTTCAGTTTTTCAACTCCTGTATTTGAGGACGCCTTCCCTTGGACTTCGGGGAGGATTCTACATGATGACAGGGACTTGTTTGAACAGAGGACTTCTCCCCTCTAAGGTATGTGGGGCAAGTGTGAGCGGGCGGCATGTTGTAAGTTCACCGGCAGGATTATGGGAACCCATTCTCCGTGGTAGCTGGGCAACTGAGGTCAGGCTTATTTTTTGGTTTAAAATGTGGATTATGCACGACACTGCCCTGGGTGCTCGACTTCAATTCCGAGCTTGCTATTTCTAGGTTCTATGTCCCCGGGGCGCGGGGAAAACATTTCTTTTTCTTGGTGAGGGGGCAGTTATACTTTCCCCCGACAGTAAAAAGAGCAAGTGGCCGAGTTCTGATAGTTAAGCTTTTCCCAGTCCTTCTGGAGTTGGGTGGACTCTCTTCCGCACGGGTCTTCCATGCAGGGAGTCCGGCCTCGCCCTCGGCCAGCCCCGGGGCGAGCGAGGGTCCGGCGAGGGACGGCCCTCTTCTGTCCCCACTCCCCAGCGGGAGCGGACTGACTGGAGGAGATTAGTCCCTGGTCATAAACAACCTCTCACTTTCCCCTCCCCCGTCCCGGACCCGCCCGCGCCCAGGCCGGCCCTCCCCGGCCCAAGGAACCTCCTCCGACGGCCGCGGGCCCGAGCCTCTTCGGGAGGGCGATCGCGGGCCGACCCCTGTGCGAACTGGGTGTCTGGCCTCTTTACTCGTCCTCACTGACCCACCAGGGCAGGGGGGTTCACCACTACGACCTCGCAGGGGACCCGAGGCCAGTCTCCATTTCCCTTCCCTCGACCCCTATCACCTCCAACAGCCAAGGAGAGGCCGTCGCCCTGACGCGCAGGCTCGCGGCCGCCCCGCGCGCGCCGACGCGGCCCCCTCCCCCAACCCGCGTCCCGACCCCGCCCCTTCCCGGAGCCCGCCTCCGCGCCGGCCCGCCCTCCGGCTGTCCCTCGCGCGCGCACCCGGTGCCCCGCCTCCGCGCGTGCTCACTGACTGTTCCCAAAGCCAGCCTCCAAGCTTCCCCCGCCCCTGGGCTGTTTGAATATGCTAATGAGAAGCTCTGGGCTAGCCAGTGAAAGAGCGGGGCGGTGCATCACGTGGCCCGGGGACGTGTCAGGGGGCGGAGCTCCCGCAGCCCCTGCCCGAGTTAAAATCGGAGTGTGCGAGAGAAAAGCGCTTCAGTAGCGAGAGGGGCCGAGAAAGTGGTGACACCGCTGGGGTGCAGAGGGAGTCCCTGAAACTTCTCCCAACAGCCCCAGGGCCAATCTCCCCTCAGCCCACTCACCCCTTCGCCAGCTCCCGGGTCCCCACTCCCTGCACCGGGGGTGGGGTAGGGAGCCAGGCTTGTCTCCCGCTGGGACACACACAGGGGCCGGGAGTGGGGACGGGACCCCCGAGGCGGGGGGGACGGACCGACAGAAAGACGGTCGGGAGCCCGGCCCAGCGGGCAGGCAGGCAGGAGGAGGAGGCGGCGGCGGGGGTACGGCCGGGAGGACTGGGTCTGGGGAGTTTCCTCTCAACTATCGGGGGAGAAACTCCCCGCAGCCGGAGGAAAGACCCAGGCGGTGTTTTCCTCCCGGGGGCCGCGCTTCCCCGCCCCGCGTAGCGGCGGTCGCCGCCGCCACCACCGCCGCCGACACCTACCGTCTCTTTTTCTCCACCACCTCGGGCCCCCGGTGTCCCCGGCCAGCACTATGCCCATCTTACTGTTCCTGATAGACACGTCTGCCTCTATGAACCAGCGCAGCCATCTGGGCACCACCTACCTGGACACGGCCAAAGGCGCGGTAGAGACCTTCATGAAGGTACCGACTGACCGAGCCCCGGGCGGCGACCTCGGCCCGGCGGCCCGCGGGCGGCGGGGTTGTGGGGGAGGCAGCC